TTTTTTTACGGTTCCTCCCTTTCTTCACCAATTTTTTTCTTACATACATACACACTTACATACATACAAACCCTCCCCCCTCTTACTCCCACTTATCTGGTTCGCACTATTCAATGCCAACCATATCTTCCATTCCCCTCGACCAAGGATCTCCTCCCTCTTCACATCTTCGTCATTCTCATCACCGTCTTCCTACCCAATCTTCTCTCTCTACCATACCTGTCCCGGTCTCATCCTCCCCGGACGACTTCTCTTCTTCTACTCCCCCATCCGCCTCTTGTATTCTCACCTCCGCAACCCCCGCTGCTGTCGCTGCCCCCACGACCAGAACTTCCACTTTCACCAGCACTACCAGTTTCACTGGATCTGTAATTGGATCGATCTCGCGACGTAATCGCCGATCTTTCGCTGCCTTGGCCCGTGAAAAGACTTCAAACGCTTTTGCCAATTTCTCGGCCATTGGAGGTACCCCCAACGCCACTCTACGCTCTTCAGCCTCGTCCGGAAGCTTGTCAAAACATTCGCGCAAGCCTTCCCAAGTCAGCGTCAGTGAAGCCGCAGGAGCCTCGCCGCTGACTCCACCATTATCGGACAGCAGCACGAACAGTGAGCAATTGAGTAACACACCCATTGAGTCGCCCGCCAACCCGTTTTCCCCGGCTGTGGCCGAACAAGTCGAAAGGCGCCGCCAGACCCTTCAACACGTCCCATCTTTGGTAGGGCAACAGGCACAAGCCGTAATTCCGTCAAAAATGCATCAAACATCTTCAAGGCTATTGCGTATGACCGAAGATGATCGTCCTTTTACGAAGGTAGGATTTTTCGAAATTCTTTTCATTTTATTCTAATATTCGATTACTTTTTTTGCCCCTCATTTTATCTTCAAATTCAAGGGAAAATGATTAAAATAAGCCAAAGCGCCAGAGTATGAATCATTGTTAACGCACTGACTTCTGCAGGATTTTATGGATCTGTTCTCAACATTGATGGTCAGCTTGAAACTGGATTCGCATCGCGTACGATTTACAAGATACGACCACTCATTTACGTCTGAAGAAGCAATCAACAATCTTGGATCCCTCAAATTCTCCCAGTCAAACCGCATGCCAGACCCTAAGGATCCTTCTCGAATTGTTACGACCACGACGACAACCACTTTTTCCATGGCCAAGGAAATGGCCCGCTCAGTGTGCCAACGGTTTGTCGACGCGAGGTTCATTGAGTCTGTTGATGGCAAAGCTTCTCAATTCTTCCCATTGAAGGGTGCCTTGTATCAACTTACCCCTAAAGGAATTAATATCCTGCAGAGATTTTGCCAGAGGAATGGTATCACTGCACGCCATGTGATCGATGTGCTGGAATCTCCTCGTAATACAATGCAACTTGTCAACCTGGAGCGCGACTCCGAGACCGATAAACTATCGCATGATCGTGCCACAATTGAGGTCATCTTTCGCCGGTTTGCTGGCCAAGATGGACCCAATGTCAAGAGCAGTATTTCCACCTCCGACTCGGATTCACTGAGCGATTATTCGAATGGTCTGGTTGGAGTGAAGATGGCCAAGGAACGTAAAATTAACGACAAGATTCTTATCAACACCTTTACTGGAAAAGCCGCGGTGGATTGGTTGATGGACTGTTCGACTACCATCGAACGCCGAGAAACTGTCCTCATCGCCGAGCTGTTCGTCAAATATGGGATGATCACAATGTTGCAGGAGGATAAGTTGATGCCTCTGCCAGACAACTCGATAGTTGGGTTTCAGCCCTCCAAGAATGCAATCTATGGCATCACGGAACGAGGCCAGCGGGTTTGTGGGTGGATTGCTCGGGACAAGGCTCGTGATACTACGGCTTACGACAGCCGCGGTATTCCAAAGGACTCGAACAACGCTCGGTTGAACCACATTCTTCATGATGCCGCCCTGAGACTTCTTTTCCGTGAATTTCTCCGCTATTCTTTGTGCGAGGAGAACTTGTCCTTCTACTTGGACGTTTCGGAGTTTACCGCAACATACCACAAGGCGGAGAAGGTTGGCACATTTAAGAAGTCTGACTCTGTTCGTGAGACTCTGGCTGCAGCATATGGTAAGTTCTCGGTTATCGTCTGACTTCAAGTGCAACCCATCCTGACTGTTTAAAAGGCCTTTACAACGCCTTCCTGGCTCCCGGCTCTCCTTGTGAGCTCAATATTGACCACGCACTGCGCAACAGCTTGGCCAGTCGCATGACTAAGGCTGTAGGAGATGATGAATCAATGTTCAAGAGTCTCCAGGAAGTTGTGCATTTGTTTGAGATGGCACAGACTTCTGTTTTCAAGTTGATGTCAAGTGTGAGTATCTTCCCAACGCCCGAAGAGTTCCGCGTTTTGATCTCTAACCTCTCACAGGATTCAATCCCGAAGTTTCTGCGCGACCCTAAGTACTCTCAAGTTCTCCAGGAGCATGATGTCGAGTTGATCGGCGCCACAAGGTCTTATTCACCGACCCCAACCAACGTTCCGGAACGCTCGATGAGTCGCTCGGCTCGGTCGTGACACTAGACTATACCGTGTACGTCGCGGTCGATTTGGAATTACGATTTTGAGCCGAACTACCCTGCTCTGCGGTGGTACAGTACGTAGGGAAGGGCCTAAACCTGGCGTCCCACAGCCGAAGAGTTTGATCATACGTATATGACTCCGGTTCATGACCCTCGGACAATGTCAGAACTTCGAACGCCGCTCCAGCGGCTCCCTCGCTAGTCCACCATACATTGACACGAACACTCCTCCGGTTCTACCATTATCTTTTCTTCACCGGCACTCAATGCACCTTTGAGCCGTTCCACTTCGGCGACATGATTTTCCTTTGTAATCAAAGTTATCACGACCCATGAAAGATGTTACGATCTCTATGGATCATGTGATAGAGATGACCCACATTGATGGTCTTCCCATATTTATATCTACTCGGTTTTCCATGTTTTGCTTTTCTTTTCATTTGTGATTTCTGACCCGCGTGGAGAAATCGGTGAGGAAGGCTGAGACACGAGAGTTTTCCAGCATTAGAGAGGCGTTTCTTTATCTTCTTTTACTTTCACCCTGTGATTTGGCTTTTTGGCATACACGTGTGGCCTTTTAGAGATCTGTCGATTTTCCCTTACCCTTTTACTATATTGTCTAGTATTTCCCTCTTCTTCCTTCGACCTGCATTATCCTTGTTCAAGAGTTGATGTATATGCTGTCATACCTTCGGCATTCAGCATTGTTTTGCGTCTTGATTGCATTTTCAAGGATTCAGCGATTATGGCTTTTCATTTGTCATTCCCCTACTTTATGCCGCTACTACATGGATCGTCTCTCGAGATATGTAGAGAAAAGAAAAAAAAATATACGAGTTCGACACCTTGATGATCTGATTTTCTATCACACGTAGTGCAATCTTGGTAAAATGGGCGACCCCAAGACCACATGGCAACCACGTGTCAAAACAAAGCCATCGATGAATGTAGCAAAGTGCGCAGCCCCGATGAGCGTATCAAGTTCAAGATGTAATTAGCGGGACAAGACCATCCGCGTATGGTATTTAAAATCATCACGATGGTAAATAACAAAGCTTAAAAAACTCCTGCACGCCCTCCCTGCATCCACGAATTCAACGGTCAAAAAGAAGCAAGATAATAATAATAAACAACACTAACTCGTCCATCGTTTTACCAAGAAAGGAGGAAACCAGGCCCAAGAACAAAATGAACACAATACGACCGGAATGGATTCTATAGAAACATGACGGACCAATTGGTGACGCATAAAGACGGCGAATATGAACCATGGAAGGGCGAGTTGAGATGACAAAGGCCGTGGCGCTGTTCTGAAATTGCATCTGTGATAAATATCTCAAGAGCATCTGTTGGTTCATATATCCAGTGTTTACGGGATGAAGTTATGGTTAATTCAACCCAGCCTCGGGCGAATAGGGGTCGGGCCATCTGACCTAAAGTCGGGATGGGGGTGGAGTAACCGGATGGATGTGTTTGATGCGGGTTGAATTTATTTAAGAAGTGAGTTGACGTTGGGTTTATAGGGAGGCGAATCTGAGATCATTTGTTGCCCCAACCTCTTTGTTTCATGCCCTCTTCAATCGCAGTCCAGATGCCCTCGACTACTTCGCGATCTCGCCACCGTCCTGCACCGTTAACGCCGCCCTTTTCATCCCACCGTTCAACGGAGAAGCTTTGGACTCCACGGCCCCAGCCGCGGACTTCGCGCGGGACCCCTTCGCCGCGCCACCCGACGTGGATGCCGCTTGCGTGCTTGAAAAGTTCTGGTGGAGAGGACCACTTGTAGGACTTAAATTGCCAGGTTTGACCGGTTGTGAAGACAGCGACGAGTCGGTTCCAGTAGTCTGGTCTGAAATTGGCTGTGCTGTCGACGAGGATGAACCGAGTTGGTTTTCTGGTTGCAGTTTGGGAGCCGGCAGCACGAGATGTTGTGTTGGATGGGTCCGAAAGAATGCGTAGCGGGCGAGATATATACAGAATGTTGGAACTGGGCATAGAGAGGGTGGGGTGGTCGGGAGGTACAAAGACACCGTCTTGGAGGAACGAGCGTACATTTGACATGCGGATGAGAGACGAAGCCGAGGGTGAAAGTAGAATAATCGGATCCTGAGTTTTGGAGCTGCCCTTCCGGGGTTGAGGAAGGCCAGCAGACGGCGCCGGTATGAGAGACTGCGGCTTGCTTCCTGGCTTTGCGCCCGGGGGGTATTGACCCGTTCGTGAGCGGTTACGACCAAGAAATGTCTCGGCCGTTTTGCGAACATGAGAGAAATCCTAAATGAGAGGTTATTAGTGGCTGCTTGGTGATCGGTGCTACGGAGGTATCCTTGCACCTCCAGACTCAACCTACAGTTGGTTTGATTCCCCGTAGAACACTATTCCGATCACCCATCTTCCGTTCACCGTTGTAGATTTCCTGTAACCTAGGATCAACAACCTTTGCGGTCTTTCCTTGCTGAGCACCCCCGGAGGGCGCGGTGGTACCAGGCGCGCCGCTTGGGACTGCAGAAACACCCCCAGCAGCACCGGAAGCAATATTAGCTGAGGCTTGAGCCTGATCCACCGCGGAGGCAGCAGCAGCGGCTGCACCCTCTAAGGGTTTGATATATTCACTCTCATCGGAGGCGCCTTCGAGCCAGGTGATAAGGTCTAGGCGCTCGACGAAAACCAAGTTTTGCACTTGCTCTTCCTCCTCTCCTTCCTTGCGTTCCTTCTGCTTTAGCGACTCATTCAATTCCTGTGCTGAGGCAATGTAATCCGGAATCGCGACATCTTTCTTTTGCCAAGCGAAGAAGATACTCCGGAGGTCGACAGCGGAGTCGGAGGCGGTTGAAAAGAAACGCGTTGATGCATTCAATGGGATGGTTTGTGGCGACGGATTCTGAAAGAAGAGGTATGTGGCTTTAGCTAAGTTGTCGGTAGCATTTTGATCTGAGGGGTCGGAGGAAGTCATCGGCGTGGGAAGACTGCCGGCCGCAATAGCGCGGCGAAGGGAAAGAAGGGGATCTTGGAGGGAGGGATCGCTTTCCATTATGGTGGCTAATTCGCAAGTATACTACTACCACCACGCCAAACGATCCTTTAGAAAAGAGTCAAGCCTGTGTGAGAATGAGGACGTTGACTGAGCTTGCGGAAGTGGGCAGTGTTGATGATGGCCCATCAATCCGCAAGAAATGGAGACCGCACGTGACCCGCGCTTCTCGAGTTGTATGTATTCATTTGATCACACTTACTTCCAGCAACAGCACTCGAACACTTAGTAGACATCTATATCTAGACGCCTTTATGAATGACAACAGACGCTCAGGTAACGCCACATCCAGCTCCAAGCCCCAAGGAAGGCCGTTATGCCAGTGAACAAGATCAATGCCCCGTATTCCGTGCCATATCCGATGTCACTCCCACCAACTGATCCTTTCTCGATCAAAGCGGTACTCAAGGGTCCACTAATTACATTACCAATCCCTCTTCCTCCAGCCAACAATCCAAACACCAACCCTGTCTCCAACGATGGCCTCTCCCGCTTGATCTGCGTTGATACGCCAGACCAAGTGGAGCTGAAGCCACCGGCAAAGAAACCGTATGTTATGGAAAAAAGCGTGAGAAGTGCGAACGCAGCTCTTGGATAAGATGATGAGGTAGATGTTGAGAGGCCCCAAAAGAGGAAGACGGAGAGCGCTGAACCTACTGATGAGAAAAGCATCATGTTTGTAACGGCGAAGCGATCACAAAGTGAGCCGATCACTATTCCACCAACCACGGACGTCGCGTTGAAGAGGGCCAATAAGAGTGTGCCCGTATTATTGGATAAGCCAGCTACGCTGGTCGAGTAAGACGGCAGATAAGTTGTAGGCAGGAAGTACCCAAAACCCTGTATAATATTCCCCAGTTGTAACATCCAGAAAGTGACCAGCTTTAAAAAGGTCAAGTCCAGACGTCGAGCGGAGGTCGATGGCGAAGGTGGGATTCGCGGTTTTATGAATGGCAGAGCTGCCAACGTAGAGAGTAGCTAGGAAGAGTCAGTTCGGCTTCCCTCACTAACACTGATGGGATGCGGGCTAGGCTATCCAGCGAGACAAAGGCACTAGGGGTTGCCTGTTGTCCTGGAGTGGATTGTACATAGTGTTGCTTTATTGCTAGTGGATTGAGCTTATTACAAGCGAGTGATCATGGCGGGATGGTTACGGCAGATATCCGCAGTATGGGATAGCCATGGGCGAAGCTACGCCAGCACTAGACAAATTGCATAAAGGTGGGGACTTGAGAAGCGCAGGCGAACTGGGCATTGGTGCATTGCGAGCATATGTGTGTTTCGGCAATTGTCTTGCGATTAAATGGATTGAGCGTGACGGGAGGGTTACTGACCGTAGTGACTGTCCAGGCTCTCAAGGTAGTTCTCGCTCCAAAATGTTGAAGACAGGCGCTGGCTAGAAAAGGGAGGACCACGCCGCAAATGCTTTTGGCAGCCCACATAATCCCATATGCAAGGCCTTTACGACGGACAAACCATTGATCAAGATATAGAGTTGTCGGGCTAAAGACCAGACCATTTCCGACGGCGCATAGAACACCCTGAGTGACAATCAAGTGCCACACTGTTATCGAGAAAGAGGAAAGGAGAGAGCCACAAACACTGAGGAACAGGCCGACAGAAGCACAGTACTTCTGTAACTGGGGGAAACGGGTGAGAAGGGTGAAAGATACGGGGGAAAGAAGATAGAGAATTCCCTGGACAACCCAAAACAACCGTTAGTGTACACCCGTCCTACTGCTATCGGTTGAGAGGTGGACTTGGGGATAGTACAGTTGAAGTTGTTCCAACTACTGCCAAATCCCCTTTGCTCCCTTGAAGCCCATTGTGCGAGGAATAGTACTCTTGAAAGATCCCATAGACGAGAGAAAAACCTAGCGAGGGGGTGTCAACATTTTATCTATAACCATCCCAAAAGCAGTGGCTGTACCCCAGACTGGTAATTGGATTAAGCAGCACGAGGCTAACATCAACCAAGCATCCTTTCCTTGATCTGTTGGGGGCAGAGACGGTTGTTCGAGTTCCAAATGGGAGGCATTATGCGCGTCTTCCTGTGGAGATGGTTGTGGCTGAAGATTAGGCTGCTGAGGCTGCATCTTCTTGTAAGGGATATGGGCTCTGTTGATGGAACAATAGGGATACTATGATGACTGATATGAGATGTGACTTACCCCGCGCACATGATCATCCCTCCCCCTTCCAAGTCCGCCCATTGGGAAAGTCGATTGCCAACATGGCTTCCTTCCTACAGACATTCATGGGATAGAAGTGGAGAAAGTGGAGATTGAAAGGTATCTTGTTTTTTTCTTCTCATCATTCGATCGACTTGGTTCCATTAAGGCCGTATCTCTCACAGGACAACAGGGCGATGTCGTCATAGAAGAAGCCTGATATAATGAATAATAATAATAATAATAATAATAATAAAAATAGGTATAGAAAACAAATGAACACAGCTAATACAGATAATCGTGAAGCAGATGCTGCACATAAGTGACGAGTGATCGTCAACCTCAACACCATACATACCCTTTGCCGATTCATATCCCAGAGTTTATTTCCCAACCTTTCCATCCACGCGCCTGATACGCCGTCACAAAACGGGAAAAAGAAGAAACAGAAAACAGAAATAAGCCCAAGAAGAGAAAACATATCCACGGCTGAACGCCAATTCCCATCGTGTACAGATTCAAGTAATAGATAAAAATAACACACTGCCCACTGTCACTACCATCACCGCCGCTAGGAGGCAGCCTGGATGAGGGGTGGTCTGGCATCTCAGGAAAGCGACGACAGCTGGGAAGCCTGTGTCGACCCAGAAACATCTTTCATCGCAACATCCGAGGACTTGGCACTTCCTCCTTCTCCGACGGCCCGGCCCTGTGCATGTTCGTTGTTACTAACTGTAGATAACTCGCGACTCATGTGGGGTTGGGCTGTGAGTGATTTGGTCGGGGGCATCGGAGTGGCCTGAGCTTGGGGCTTTTCGGATGTGGGAGTAGTGAGAGTGCCTCTCCGGATGAGATAGTCCCCTAAACTAAGCTTCTTCTTCACCGGGCTAGGTGCAGTTACGCTAGACCCGGGGATTGCTGTGTCTGAGGTAGATGGTGACGAGATCACAACTGGTGCAACGGACCCTGGGCTATTGGCAGGAGGTAAGGAGGGAATGGTAGCAGGAGGAAGTGGAACGCGGAGATCAACACGATGATTGTTTACTTTGCCGCCCGGTATTCGAGAGTTATGAGCAGCAGTGGATGGCCACGGTGGTGGCAGTGGAGGTTTGACAGAACTTCGGCCTGATAATGGCGAGGTTTCTTGCTGCCATCCTGGAGAGGTACCCATTGGGGACACGGCATCTTTCATTTCCATGTCTCTCCGGTCACCCGACACGCTCGGTGTGGTAACTGTGGGTGGCCCGGCGCGCGGGCTTGACACAGGGGACATCAGATGTGTGGCATGCTTTGACTGCGCAGAGGGCGACACGAAGTGTTGTTGACTAGTCTGTTCCAGTCGTATACGATCCGCATAACATCGCTTCAGCAGCCGCTGGGTGAATGAGACAAAATTGGGTCGCCGAGATGGAGTATTAGACGGTGAGGGGCTATCACTAACATCGAGTTCTGTCTGCGTCGCTGAGTCAACGTACTGAGGATGCCTGAGCCGAGATCGCAGTGAAGGGGGTCCATGACTCGATACCTTTCGCGGAGAGTCATGGCGGCCTCCAGGTAAAGATCCCGGGGAGATAGCTGATGTCGGCGAGTGAGACTGGCGATCACGACCACCTAGGTGTGTGAAATAGCCTGCCTGAGCCGACACGTTTCCAATGACCGGTGTTATCTGCGTGGACTGACCGCTGGCTCGCTTCTTTCTCCGGTGTGAAGCTTGTTGATCCTGTTCCAATTGCTGGAATTTCTTCTCCGCAGCAGCAATTTTCCGTTTCTCTCGAGCTGAGAGCTCAGATTCGCCGAATACAAGGCCTTCAGTAGGCGTCTGCAATGTAGGTGTGAGATCGCGACTACGGGTCTGACCTCGTGCAGAGCCTGACGTGGAACGGGTATCCGTCTGGTCGTCTTCTTCCAGATTTTTAGTAGCCTCGCTGCCAGCACGGCTATTGGACGCCGGTGGAGAAATGTTCGACTTGCTTTTGGCTTTCTTCCGTTTTAGACTCATTTGCTTCGAGTTGGTTTCCAATACTCTCGGATGCCGGCGACGATCCACATTAGCCAACAAACAATTAGGTGGGGCAACGCAGGCACAGCCGCCAAAGTGAGATAGTACATTGCTAATGCACATGGCCGCCACATCCTGTGCGTTGTCACTGAACTCCTGTTTGACGACACCATTGGTCGATTCAAACAATTGTGGGTCTAGGTACCACATGGCGGTAATCTCTGAACCGGCCGCTATGTCTTCTTTAGCAACAAAGCAAAAATGATACTCCACTTCGTTGGTGATGAAGGTTCTGATGGTGACATTAGGACGACAAGATCGTCGCGCATAGCGGAGTATGTTTCCCTCATGGCGACTATCGATATAGAGAGGTAACTGAGGGTGGAAGAAAACGAAAGGCTCTGGATGACGAAGCTCTTGCCAGCGGTTACTGGCCTCAACGCAGTATTTCCAAAGTGGTCCGATTTTGCCCGTGATCTCTCCCACGATCTCGTCCTTTCTGACAGGATCCCGCGTCTTGAGGATCTTCCAAGTTGGATGAATTCCGTCAATGTCAACGTTCTGATCTCTGATGGTCTCTGTTGCAAGAGAGGGCCAATGTGATCTGTCCAGCGCCCCGCCCGACCAGGTGAAAACATCCTGCGCAGAGCGCCCGTTAGAATCATGAGCAAGTGCGCCGGGCTCGTTCACCCATTTCGCCAAATGCGTGGCAAGTTCAAGGTTGACAAACAGATTACTATCTGTATTGACATGATGGTTGTCATGATCATAGAGATGGAGGAATTCATTCGAATATAAGGGAATAGAAGAGCCTGATGATTTTGTGGGAC